TCTGTCATTTTTCGTGAAACTCCAGTCACCATAGTGCCATAGGAGAAAGTCACAGGGACTCGGGACTCGCGAATGACGAATGTATGGCAATGTGTCCTTTCGAGCGCAGGAACAGTCGATGGTACCACGACCCCTTGGCACTGGAATTCAAATGCTGGAAGAGCTCTATGGCAAGCATAGGCTTCTGGAAGCGATATTCAACACACTCTTTGTGTGTGTGTGTTTTTTGCGAAACACATGAATTGCTGTGTGGCACGGCTGTGTGATGCTTTGGGAATGGACTTGATTATTTTTCCAGAACTTAGCACAGCTGGGCAGGGGGTGCAAAGAGCCACCCGAGATGAATGAGGAGGTTCCATAAATGCAAACTAGGGGTGACAGGTGTCCTTCACAAGCGAGCGAGCCGTGTTTGATCTCTTTTTTGGATGTGCTGTTTTCCCCAAATGCATCAATGCTGTATGGTGGCTGTTGGACCACCCGGCACTTGCTGCGACCGGTATTTGTGGATGTTTGGTACCAAGTGTTCCGAACAAGCGAACAGTCTCCGTGCAAAAAACACACCAGGACCTAGAAGATCTCCATGCTGTTGACTCAGCTCCCGAAATGTGCTTGCGTAGGCTTTTCCAATCTCAATCAAATATGTGTTTTTGAGGCTTCTGACTTTGAAAGGTCCTTGTAAAGTTTACATGCCAGTGAAATTTATGTTTGAAGTACTTGTGTGTGTGTGTTTTCTTTTTGTGGCCAGAGACACGCGAAAGTTCTGGGGCAACACGCTGCAATTGAGACAAAAGTCATCCCTGCCATACCTCGCGTGAAGCTCAAGTAAAGCATTGGGTTGGCAATGATATTGTTGCAAGTGCAAAAAATAATCGGCATATGTGATGTGCGAAGAAAGCATGGCCGTTTCAGTGAAAATGAATGTTTCCTTGTTGTGCTATGTTGTGCTTTGGTGCGTAGAAGGTAGAACAGTCTTTTTCCCCAGATTGCGAAGCTATGGGGTTCTTACTTCAAATAGCAATGAGTTGCCCGTGCGCGCTTTCGCGACAGGTTGCTGGTGCTGGGTGCCGGTGCTGGCGCTGGTGCTGGCGCTGGTGCTGTGAGCTGGCTGTGCACGTGGTGGAGTGCTGGTGCTGTGAGCTGGCTGCGTACGTGGTGGAGACAGGTTGCTGGTGCTGGTGCTGGGTGCCAGTGCTGGTGCTGGGTGCCGCCGGTGCTGGTGCTGTGAGCTGGCTGTGCACGTGGAGATAGGTTGCTGGTGCTGGTGGCGGGTGCCGGCGCTGGTGCTGGTGCTGTGAGCTGGCTGTGCACGTGGTGGAGACAGGTCCCTGGTGCTGGTGCCGGGTGCCGGTGCTGGTGCTGGTGCTGGGTGCTGGCAGTGCGCGTGGTAGAGACAGCGGGCGCCGGTGCCGGTGCTGTGAGCTGACAGTGCGCGTGGTGGAGACCGGGCGCCGGTGCTGGGTGCTGGCTGCGCGCGTGGTGGAGACTGCTGGGCGCCGGGTGCTGGTGCTGGGTGCTATACCGGTGCTCGGTGCTGGTGCCTGCTTCTGACAGTGAAGTGATAACAATCTCCGCTTCTGACAGTGAAGGGTAACAAACCGCCGCTTGCAGCAGTGAAGGGCGACCAAGCGCCGCTTCTGACAATGAAGTGCCAGCCGTCATGGGCCGCATGAACTTATGCACGCAACATCATACGGTGTTGTCGCTTGAGCGTTCTTTGCTATGAGCGCTGTGGGGTATTTAAACTCTTCAGGTTCTGTTTTGGCCGACAGCTGTGTCAGGTACTGTTTGCGCGCATACTTTTGTACGTATAATGTTCTATGCGCAACGCCAGGCTCTCAACCGACCATTGTTTCAGCATGTTTCAGCCTACTACACACATGCACACACACAATAGTCGCGCTGGATGCTGCTTGGCCTTGGGCGAGTGAAGCCTACGGGCTTTGCTGCCGTTTGTGCGCACACTTTTGTGCGCATAAACTTATACGCGCAAGATCATATGGCCTTATCGTTCTGCAGATCGTTGCTTCAAGCATGCTGCACATTCAATAGTGGCGCTGGATACTGCTTGGGTTTGGGCCAATGACACTTACGGGCTTTGCTGTTTGCCCGCATACTTTTTTGCGCATACACTTATACGCGCAAGATCATACGTTGTTATTACTATTCCCCAAATAGGGACACTTATATGGGGTTCTTGCTGCAAATAAGAATGAGCTGGCTGCGCGCAATTTCGGGGTGTCGGTGCTGGTGCTGTTGGTTGTGGTCCTGGGTGCTGGTGCTTTGAGGTCGGTGAGCGGCGAGCGCGCGTTTAAGACGGGCGGCGGCGCTGATCGGGCGCTGGCGCCGCTGCCGGTGTTGTCAGCTGGCAAAGCGCGCCAGCGCTGGTGTCAGCTGATTGCGCGCGCTGTGGAGGTGCCGCAAGCTGGTTGTGCAGGTTGCGTACATTCTTGTTCCAGCCAGTCGCATGTCACGTCAACAGGTCATGGGATTCTGCCTAGCTATCTGGGTCTATGCTGGTGTAATTAATTCTATTGGAGGCCATTGCTTTCTTGTTTGCTTTCAAAATCAGCATCTCAGACCTTAGGCAATGCTCAAAGAGGAGCTCCCCAGGCAAGGCTCAGGCGGCTCAGGTTCCGTTTCAGTGATCAGCTGGCCTTGCATTTCAGGTGTCCGTCGATCTCATCGGTCGCGTGGGTGGCCAAAGTGCTGGAAGACTTGGAATTAGAGGAGACATATACTAACATCAAACATCAGAACCGGATTTTGGATTGTGCGTTTTGAAATGATGTTTGATGTTAAACATGTTAGCTGGTGTGTGTGTGTGTGCGTGTTGTATTCTTCAAGCAGTAGCTTCTCCAGGATGACGACGTTTTTGAAGTCATAGCGTCACAAGTGAAAGACCGCGTTGACGAATTGGAGCCGCAGGAGATACTAGAAAGATTTAGAAACGCAAAAGAACTCAAAAGGTGGAGTCAAAGTCACCTGTGCGCAATTTGACAGACGGATTCTGTCAGGAGACGTTGGACATTGTGCTGAGGTTCTACTTCACACCATTCAAGTCATTGTTTTGCAAACGGATTTGCAAAGGGTTTCAGCCATAACTAGTACTAGTATGGCGCAATCTGATAAAAAAATTGTATGTTTGACACTGCTCTTTGAATGGATGCTATTTGGATCTATTCGTGGCAGTTTTGGTGCCATCTACTTCAACGATGATGAGTCGCTTTGCTGCAGTTGAGTGCGCAGAAAAAGGGCCAGAAAAGGACCCTGGCACTGTCAAATTGATGAAACTGTGACGCTGGAACTCGCTCATGCGATGCGTCTTTCTAAGGCTCCTGGAGGCCTTGGCAGGTGCTGTTCGGCGACAGCTTCACTTCTTTACCAACGCTGAGGCAAAGGGACAACTTTGAAGAAAGGTCCAAAGGTCCAAACACTAAAGGAAGAGAAAAGGTCTCCAGTGGAGTCTCCAGGTTCTTAGATTCTTGAAACAAATCTTTTCAACCATCATGCTCTCCCCTGTCGAAGAAAGATGTCCACCCAGGTTGTCCGCTTGGCGAATGCCATGTCGCGCTTGGGAGGGCTGGATTCGTCCAAGCACGTAGGAAGGGACCGGATGGGACCGGGATGGGTTCACAAGAGGCATCGCGCCAGGAGCCCCTAGTAGCGTCCATACTCCTAATAGCGATGCCCTTGGTTCCTAGTAGCTTCTTGCTCCTAGTAGTAAGG